TCTCAGGTTATTTTATCTAAACGTCTACAACACAATTAAGAGAAAAAAATAATTTCTAATTGTGGACTGTTTTACACTGCCTACTTGAAAAAAAGGTATTTCAGACATAAAGAGTTTAAACTTACCAGGCAAACGCTTGACAACAGCAGGGTTTTTTGTTTTGTTTTTTAAGCAGGTTGTTGCTACATAGTTCAGTTGGTCATAAACTTACTATGTAGCTCATATTCTCCTCAAACAACAATGATCCTCTTGCCTCAGCCTCCCAAGTGCTGAGATTACAGGCATATACCACCATGCCCAACAAAAAGAGTAAACTCTTTTATCGAACAGAATTGGATTCAGACCCTAAGTATTTTATTCCTGAGCTACTTTAAAATCTTTGCCTACATTTTACCAGACTTAAATTTAGCATTTTGCTCACTGATCTGCCGTGAGCTGTGTAGTAATTAAAAGAACTAGTTCAGGTCAGCCTGGGTGGGGCTGTATAGTGAGTTCAAGGTCAGCCTGACTACACAGCAAGACCCTGTCTCAAACCATAAAACAAGGGGTCAAGTCTGGAGTCTCTGGCTCAACTGTAAAATAAAGATTACTAAAACTAAACCTGGCAAGATAAATGGAAGGATAAAATGAATATAAAGTCCTTGCAATTATAATTTATATAATATTTACAGTTTATGAACTGTGATATTTGATTTCTCAGTCATATGATTAAACTCACAAAAAAATTTCAAAATTCATTATAATTAACTTAAGATTTCTTTATGCCCATTTTTTATACAGCCTCATTTCAAAGTTATTCTCTCCTACTTTAGTAAGTATCGAGTTGTGTAAACAAACAATTCTGAAAGGCAGTTGATCTGAAGAACATTTATTTGGAAATAAAAAAATCCCTTCCTAAGAAATACTAGAGGATGCCCACACATCCTGCTGACCTACTACTGAGCCTTAGGTCACCCTACAAAGAATACTGCAACCTGTTACAGGGAGGGAGTTACAGTTCTTTCTTATTCTAGAAAGGGAAAGACTTGGCAACAGGACAACACTCCAGGCACTTTAACTTTTGTTCTGGTAGGACTTACTATCCATTTATTGCATTTTTTCAAGCATTATGTTCCTTGGAATATTAACTGCCTTTTAACTATCCAGCAAGACAGACCAAAGAAGGGAGAGATCCTAAAACCAATAGAGAACAGCCTCACAATTGCCTTCTTATGCCTGAAAAACATTCTTATTTGGATCTACAGTTTTATTGTTATTTATTTACTTTTCTGAAATAGGGGCTTGCTATGTAGTTCAGTCTTGAATTCACTATGTAGCCCAGGGTGGCCTTGAACTCACAGCATTCCTCCTGCCTCAGTTTCCCCAGTGGTGGGATTACAGGTGTGTGCAACCATACCTGGAGAGATCTACAGGTAAAATTAGACTACAGTCTTTTAAATGGTAATAAGCGTGCAGGATTTATACTGAAATTGTATCTCTCAGTTACTGTCTCTGAATATCTAAAATGTCCTTAGCATTGATGTACTTAATATACTCTACCTCGTTTTATTTGCTACAATCCTACAAAGCAGTTCACAAATACTGAAACCAAGGATCCCAAACCAGAACCCAGAATGGGACTCCTCAAAGCTAAAGGCTATGGCAGTCTCAACTAAAATTATGGCTTTTTAAAATTTTCATATCTCAAATTATCAGACATCCACATGCCAAATGTTTTGTTTATGAGACTGGTTTGGATATGAGAAGCAAATAGTTGCTGATGATGATGCATGTGCACCTACAGAGAATTACAGAACCACCTGAACTTTTTATTTTTTAAAAGTCCACAGTAAAGCCCATAAAGCTTCCATTTTCAACTTGTTTCTCACACTGGACTGGAGAAGGCAAGGTAAAGGGATACCTGATAAAATTACCCTGTCAATAGCCTGAAGTGCTTCATCAAATTGCCTCTTTCCATTCATCACACCTCACACCCAGGAGGCCACTCTGTAAGAGACCTTGTCTATTTTCAGCAGTGAAACGCTAAGAAGGTAATAAGATTCTGAGAGATTTTTTCTTTGTATTCTTTTGTGTTTTGTAAACTTCACACAACATACATTCTGTTTCACTCAAAAACTTTTCTTTTCCTTTTAAAGCTTCTTTTGTAAAAACAATTTTACTCTGAAAACCAATGTTCTGACACCATGTGAAATCCAGTAGTAACCAAATCTTAGATATTATCAGTGCTTTAAACGAGGATATTTTAAAAGTCTAAAAAATTCTGAATACCCAAAGATTAGGGGATTTATTTTTTCCTAACAAGCAGCACTCACATTTCTAAGATACTGCTTTTTAAAGATTACAGTTCCCCTGGATTAAAAAAAGGTGATGTTCTAGTGAGTTTCTGGCTTGCCAGATTTAAAAAGAAATGTGTGGGCCAATGAGTGGTATACCTTAGCGTCCAGTTTATTTTATCTCAATTATGTATCAGTAAGCCATTTAAAGCAAAAAGAAATATGAAGAAAAAAGAAACTACTTTTAAAATGGTAGGTTCTTTAAACCTCTAACCTAGCTACCTAAGTTACTTCCACTCCAGAAAGTCCCTAGAAGTTTACAAATCATTTCCATATACAGATTTTCATTTGGTTAAGTTTGCAAAGTAGCCAAAAATTACGGAATTTATTTAAAAATACTTATCTAGTCAAAAGCACTACATTAGGGAGTCACAGTGGCACATGCTTTTAATCCCAGTTCTCTGGAGGCTGAGGCAGGAAGATCATGAGGCCAGGCTGGGCCACATAATTTGTTCAAGGCCAGCTTGAATTACAGAGCAAGACTCTGTCTCAGACAAAACAAAACAGTACTACATGAACTCAACCTCCTGCCACTTACAGACCTCCCACTACCAGTAACTTCCATCTGGTAAGAGTTAAACCAAAAGGCAGGCTTCTAGGCCCACTAACTTGCTAGATGACTAGAGCCCTCCCTGGGCTCTATTTTTTTACCCATAAAATGAAGTTGTACTGGTAAACTGGTAAATCGCACTGATACTCAGTGTTAAACTACAAAATATTATACTAGCTTCTCAAGTCTATTGCTAGAATGCTGATTCTATTATCTCTTCCTGACAAAATCCTTTTCATCCTTCAGTCACACACAGTATTTATTCTATTTCTTTTAAAATCTGATTCCATTACTAAAAATGTTCGTTCTTCCCTCTCCTCTCATCATTATTGGTGGCCTCATTTCTTCTGTGGCACCTAGACAATTTTTATCTTGCATTAAAGCTGATTCTTCCCTCCCTTTTACATTGCACACATTACCATAGAAACTATACACACAATAACCCATAATCTCGCAGTACCTAAGTACTGCACTGTATTTGCTAAGTTACAAAAAAGTTTGGAAAATGAGTAGAAATAAAACAAATGAGAACATTGCTTCTTATAACTTTTGTAATAAAAGCTTAGAGCAGGATCTACTATGACCTCCAAGAAAATAATCATTTACATCCTTCAGACTCAGTTTCTCTAAGCCAAAGTGAGAACTGCCTAGTTACCAAAATGAAGGCAATATTGAACAGACTTGGTTACTGGCTCAGTCATTTAAAATGAGTATAACAAGAATTATCTTACAGGGTTAACAGGACTACTGTGAAAAATCAATTGAGATCTAATTAGAGTCGCCTCCATAATAAATTCCAAACTGCTTAACTCAATCTTCAAAGTCCTCTACGAACTATTCAAAAGTACTTTTCAAATCTTCACCCTTTAACCAAAGTGGTGAATACTCCACTTATTATGAGCTTACTTACCAGTACTTGCTTTTCTAGACCATTACTTACCCTACAAATCAAACCTTCCCACTGCTTTAGAGAATTCTAATCATCAAAGCCTACAGAAAAGCCGACTCTAAGCTTTAAACTCCTCCTCCTCTCCAGGGCCCCAACACGCCAACTGAATTATACATGCTTGATAAGCTGTTTTTTGAAGGGTTGTAGGGTCAACTCTTACCTCTAATGTTAAGGTACACCTACTGAGAGCAACTAACACCAATTTAATTTTTAAGTCATTCGCATTTACATGAAGAAGGTTAAGTGGGGGCCGGAGGAAGGAGGACGGATCTGAGGAAATTTGTCGAGACCTCAGCGCTACGACAGGAAGGCTGTCAGCTCCGCAACGCGGACTTCCCGCTCACGCTGCCGCGAGCCCTGTTAATGGAAGCCCGAGGACTCGGGCCCGGAAACTTTTGGGAAAGGTTGGCTGTTTTTTGAGGCTGAAGAAGGTGAGGTGGCCCTAACTCTCTCACCCCCTTAAAATAGTAATAATGCTCAAGAAGAGAACCAGAGTGGGATACCTGCCCGGAAAAGTCAGCCTACAAAACTTTTTAACCAGGACTCTCGCCGGAGCTGAAGAAAGCTCCTCGAGGTACCCGCGGCGCCCAGCGGGGCGAGGCACGGGAGCAGGGTCCTCCGGAAAGGGATGCAGACGTCTGGTCGCCGACCCCAATTTCGCTCAGTGGAGGCATTCCCTAGGATCAAACCCCTTCACGGGAGGAGACTCAACGTGTGCTCTCCTTTTCCAGAAACTCCAGCCACGGAGGAAGCCAACCTCCGCCGACACCCTGAAGATAACAGGGTGCGGCCAAATCCCGGACCCCGAGTCCTAGCCTGCTCTACCGCTCCGGGCTGCCTAGGCCCGGCTGCCCCACATGGCGGCGGCTGGCCGCTAGGCCGCAGGCCCACTTTCCCACACGGGGGTGGGCTCGGCTTCCGGCCTCGGCCCTTAGCCCTAGCGCCAAGCTCAGGCCCTCACCTCGTCTCCGGACATGGCTGCAGCTCGAGTGGGCTCGGCACCGATGGGAAGTGAGACGGGTCAGCGCCAGGCCCAGGCGTCAGCGCGGCTCCTCCCGATACCCCTTCAAGCACCGCACTAGGCTCTTGCATCAGCGAAAGGGGACGACACCCCGCCCTCCTCGCAAACGTTGGAATTGCGCCTGCGCAGAATTCTCCAAGGCGCAGGCGCGCGGAAGAACCAAACGCGCGCTTCTTGTAGCACGAGTTACTTGAGCGATGCCGCTACGCCGGGCATGATGGGACTTGTAGTTCTTCTGGAAGGGGCGGACTCCAGCGCGGCAGTAGCCCAAAGACGGTAGGTCCGCGACGTAGAGGTTAGGCTTTTTAAGGTTTATTTATTTGCTTATTTGTCTTAACCGTGCCTCAGCCGTTGTGAGATTCTCTATTGCTTGTGAAGCGCTATTTTAGCTTATTGGTAGGATGAATTTGAGGCTATTCCCCCCCAACCCCGGGCTAGGGTATTGGGTCAGACTGTAGAATGAGGGCTTCCCACCTGCCCCTGCCGTGTTGTGTTTGAGAAATTCTAAATAGTAGGCTGCGGAAGTACGCCCCACTAAAGGGATTTTACTTCATTAGAAACTTGACGAGTTGGCTTTCTACTTTTAAGATCGAAAACCAAAGATGTTTTCTTCCTGTCTCTCCAGAGAGTGAGAAAGACGTCACCTGAGGAGGAACTGCTGGCGAGATACGAGATACTGGAGATACTGAGCGTCGTGGTGCGCGCTGGTAATTCCAGCTCTTTGCTGAGGTGAGAGGGTTCGAGGGCACGCTGGGGAATTTAAGGAGAACTCGTCTCAAATAAAATAAAAAAGCTGACAGTAAATATCATCAAAGGGGCTCTGAGTTCTCTTCCAAGTACAGAGAGATAGGGAGAGAGAGAGAATGAACCAGGAAGCCTCGAAATACAGTCATGCTTTACTTAATTATGGGAATTTGTGAAGTATGATGAGACAGATTCTTGTTGAACATAATACCATACAAACTAAAGACAGCTACCGTGTCACCTGGAAAAAATAATCTTATGGGGCTACCATTATTGACGGAAACTTCTAGATGTCACTTGACTGTGCTTGTATGAAGTCTGTCCTTGACCACTCTGGGTGTATCATGCAGTTCTGCATAAGGTGTAATAGGTACCATTTAAAGAGTTCTCGCTATTATCAGTGGCCTTCAGAGATAACCAAGAATACCCCGTTACTAAATTAGACGTGGTGGTGCAGGCCAGTAATTCCCACACTCTGGGAGGCTGAGGCAGAATCATCAAAAATTCGAGACCAGCCTGAGCAATTTAACAAGATCCAGTCTCAAAAATAAATAAAGTGGTAGGGCTGTAAATCACTGCCAAGACACTGGGTTCAATTCCCAGTACTAACAAAAAAAAAAAAAAAAAAGGAAACTTTTTGTAAGGGATATATAACTCAGTAATAGAGCACTTAACTAACATACACAAGGCCCTGAGATCAATCCTAGTATTCTCTCTACTTAAAAATAAATAAATAAATAAATAAATAAAATTTGTCCTTGGATAGCTGGGCATAATGGTGCTTACCTGTAATCCTAGCATTCAGGAGACTGAAGCAGAAGGATTACTGTGAGTTGAGACCAGCCTGGGCTACATAGTGAATTCAAAGCCACCCTCAACTACGTAGTGCGTCCCTGTATCAAAAACCAAGAATTTGTCCTTGTGATTGAACAAATTGGACTTATTTATCTTCTTGTAGGGAAAAAGGCCCACCAAGGAGAAAAGCAGGATATCTCAGGAAGGATGTTGGAGTTTAAATTTGAGCTTCTTAAGTACTGTTGGAAAGAATTTTAAGTTTGGGCTTCTTAGGTAATTTGGGGTTAAAGGAAGCAGGGCTTCTCTCTGGATTAGATGCTCTCAAGAAGTAGGAGTAATTCTATGACTGGATATTTCAATAATTCTTGGGTTCAAATGGACAAGAACTAAATGAGGCTATAGGTTGTTTTTTGGGAGGAGGTTGGTTTTTTTTGTTGTTGGTTTTTTTTAATGCTGGGGACTGAACCCAAAGCTAAGGTCTGAGACAGGGTCTGAGTAAGTTGCTCAAATTTGTTTTTTCTGCCTCAGTCTCCCAGAGTACTGAGATTACAGTTGTATGTCACTATACCTGGCCTACAGTTTTAATTGATGAAAAAGTAGTAGTCTCTAATAGTAGACAAGATAGAGAAATACTTAGCTTTTTGTTTGTGTTTAGTACAATGTTCTTTTTGTTCTACAGAGTGGTTTCTTTTTGTTTTGATCCATTGTGGTCGCAGAATGGTCTTATCTGATCCATGCTCTGTGAAGTTGGTTAGTTCAGCTGGTCAGAATATCCTGGGTGATAGTGCCAGCCTTGCTATAAGGGACTACTTTTCGCATTATGCTCCACATTACTTAATATATGTTTTCTACTTTTGACCTCAAAAGAATTATATGAGATAATCCACAAATATCTGGTACTCCCTACTAGGTACCATTTCCTTAATTAAACATTGTAAGTCTTTCCTCTAAGGAGCTTATAGTTTATTGAGATGGGTACTTTATTAGCCCCCTTTTCTAGATGAAGAAACTGCTGGAACTGGAAAGGTAAGACGAATCTGACACTGATGGAGGCCCCTTTCCATCTTAAAAATCTGAATTACTAACCACCTTGAATTGTTGCCTCCAAACATCAGTCATTTTCAGCTGCTAATATATGTGCAATATCAAGGTTTCTCAACAGTAAATATTGACATTTAGGGCCAGATAATTCTGTTGTGGGGTGAGATGCTATGTGTTGTAAGATATTTAGCAGCACCCCTAATCTCTAGTCATAGATGACACTGGCACACTTCCCCTACTCATGATAACCAAAAATGTCTCCAGACATTGCTAAAAAACACAAAACAGTCCCTAAATCACTTGGAGAAGGGGAGGCCTTGAAGAAGAGAGAAAGAAGGTGTAGACTAAATTTTTGGAAATCATATTCAACTGGGAAAAGCAAGTACTGAGAGAAAGAAAGCAAAGTAGGAAAAAATGTGGGGAAAAGAGTGGGACAGCGGGAAAAAAGGAGCTCATAGTAAATCATCCTAACTTAGTTCACATAGCATAGTTAGTTCACCCTGTTGAAAATACACTAAGGAAATCTTAATGATGCTTTACTGTACCTCTGCTTCCTGTTTGGGGCACGCTGGTATGCTTAGCAAATTGTCTTGGTCACTGTTGTGAAAAGATTTCCTTTTCTTTACAGAGTAGTACCACCGGTAACCTCCTTGAACTGGCCATTTGAAAGAAGTCATCCTGCAGAGATTTCATACTTCTTCCAAGTTAATACATTACTTTCTAGGAAAAGCCAGTGTTCACTGGTGAAATGGCTAAATTGACAAAGTAATGACAAGTAAACTTCTCTAGATTTTAAAAAAATCTTTTTATGTTTAGCACCACCTCAAATCTTCAGTAAGTTAATGATGATAATCCTTGTATACAAAATTAAATGTTTTTGTTATCTTTACAATATTCTAAAACTTCTTCACTGTAGTGGCAGTACTTGAACTAGAACCCAGATATCATGATTCTCTGTCTAATACTCTTTTATTTTATAAAACAGGTCAGACATCTTCATGATAATGTTTACAGAAAACATCAAGTAGAGATTCTATTCCATATAGAAATTCAGACATACCCAACCCTACAAGTAATTCTATAGAGGAAATCACTAAGATACTAATAAAATACATGTAATATCTCAAATTACATTTATCTTTAGGTTGATGTAGTAGACAAGAAGTATAATGAAGCAGGGAGCTGGGGATTTAGCTCAGCAGCATAAGCGCCTGCCTTGCAAGCAGGCAGTTGTGAGTTCGATCCCTGGTACGGATAAAAAGGAAAAAGACAAAAAAAAAAAGAAGTATAATGAAGCAGCCCTCAAAAATCTTACATATGAGGTTGTCCTTTGAGACATAAACTAGTAGGAATGCATTCTTAATTATTAAATTTAATCATATATATGTGATGTAAGACATTATCTTTAAATGTGTCACTGAGGAGATTCAGCAATCACAAATTCTAAGCACTCTTTTAGTGATTCCCAGATTCCTATTTCCAATCCAAATCTCTCCTCTGAGTTTTATTCAAATGCCTACATCTCACATTTGCTTCTTTTACAGAGATTTGAAAGTTATCATGTCTAAAATAGAATTCTTGGTATTTCCAATAGTAAGTCTTCATCATCTCTTAAGGATACTGCATTCTTCTAAATAAACCAATATCAATCAATGAAATTGAAGCTGTAATTAAAAATATACCAACAAAGAAAAGCCCATGCCCTGACAGATTCACTGCTGATCTACAAGAGATTTAGAGAGGACCTAACACCAATATTTCTCAAACTCTTTAATGAAATTTAAAGAGAAGCAGTACTTCCAAATTTATTTCTGTAAGCAAGTATTATCCTGATACCAAAACTAGAGAAGAACCCAACTAAGAAAGAATTACAGGTGAATTTCCCTAATGAACATTGATGCAAAATTTCTCAGTATGATACTGACAAACAGACTTCAGCAAATCACGAAGAAGATTATACACCATGATCAAGTGGCATTTATCTCAGGGATGTACTGATAGTTCAACATATGCAAATCCATAAATGTATTACACATATTACATTTAACATATTAACAGAGCCAAGGACAAAAATCATAAGATCATCTCACTAGATGGAGAAAAAGCATCTGGCGAAATCCAGCACCCATTCTGTAGGGATAAAAACCCTACAGAAAATTGGAATAGATGGTTGTTATCTTAATCTGATAAAGCCATCTTTAACAAACCAACAGCCAACATCATACTAAATGGACAAAAACTGAAAACTTTCACTCTAAAATCAGGAACAAGACAAGGAACAAGACACTGTTTCCACTCATTCAACATAGTCCTGGAAAATTTAACAGGCAATTAGACAGGAGAAAGAATTATTTGTAGATGACTGATACTCTACTTAGAAGACCCCCCAAATTCCATCAAAAGACTACTAGATTTAATAAGCAAAGTCAGTAACATAGCTGGATGCAAAGTCAACACTCAAAAAACAGTAGCCTTCCTGACATGAATAGCAAACTCAGAAATCAAGGAAATACTTTTTTGGATGCTTTTACAATAGCATCCAAAATAATTAAATACCTCAGAATCAATGTAATGGATGTAAAACACTCCTTCACTGAAAACTACAGTACTCTGAAAAAGGAGGTTGAAGAGACTATTAGAAAATAGAGAGAGATCCCATGCTCTTGGGTAGGAAGAACCAATATAGTAAAAATGGCCATACATCCAAAACTGTTATACAGCTTCAGTGCAATCCCAGGCAAAATTCCAATAGTATGTCTCACAAAGAAAGTAATCCTAAAATTCATCTGGAACCTAGAATAGCAGAGGCAATCCTAGGTAACAAAGACAAGACAAGGGGCATCACAATCCCTGACAAAATTATACTATAAAGCAGCTGAGATTAAAAACTATGGGCACTGGCAAAAAAACAGACCCAAAGATTAATGGAATAGGAGAGAAGATGTAGAAACAACTGCGGACACACTAAGCCACCTTACCTTTAACAAAGGTGCCAACACATTCACTAGAAAGCCTCTTTAATAAATAGTACCAGAAAAATTGACTCTACACATGCTGAAGATTAAAATTGGACCCGTATCTTTCACCATGCACTAATTAAAATCAGAATAGATCAAAGATCTTAATGTTAAACATTAAATCTGTTAGATGATTAAGTAAAACAACATTGGTGTAGACAAGATTTTATGAACAAAACTCAGATTGCCCAGGAACTATCCCAAAGCATCAACAACAGGGATCTTACCCTATTGAAAAGCTTTTGCACAGCAAAAGAAACCACCAACAGTGAAGAAATAACCCACAGTGTAGGAGAAAATTTTTGCCAGTTGTTCCTCAGACAAAGGATTACTATCGAAAACACATAAAGAATTCAAAAAATTCAGGCCTCCCAGATTTATAGACCCAATCCAAAAATGGGCTTCTGAGATGAATATATACATCTCAGATGAAGAAATACGAACAGCAAATAAATATGTGAAAAAACATTCAATCCCACTGGTCATTTGAGAGATGCAAATTAAAACAACACTGAGAGTCTACCTCAACCCAGAAAGCATGGCTATTATCAAGAAATTAAGCACTAAAAATGCTGAAGGGGCTGTGGGGAAAAGGAACACTTCTTCATTTTTGGTGGGAATGTAGACTGGTGCAACCACTGTAGAAATCATTGTGGAGAGTCCTCAAATATCTAGGATTAGAGGTGCCATTCGACCCAGTTATTCCCCTCTGGATATTTCCCCAGAGGAATTAAAAACATCATACCACAGCGATATGTATACACTCATGTTTATAGCAGCACAATTTGTAATAGCAAAATCTTTTTTTTGGTCTTTTTGAGACAGGAACTCACTAGCAGTTCAGGCTGGCTTTGAGCTCACTTTGTAGCCCAGGCTAGTCTCAAACTTGCAATGGTGCTCCTGCCTCAGCCTCCTGAGTGCTGAAATTACCAGCATGTGCTACCCCCCCCCCAGAAATAATAGCCAGATTTTGTAAACAATCTAAGTGCCCATCAACTGAGGGATGAATAAAGAAGATGTGATGTTTTTATACAATGGAGTACTCATCAACCATAAAGAAGGATAAATTTTTATAGATAAATAGATGCAACTTGAGACCATATTCATAAATGAAATAAATCAGACACACGTGTAAACACTATGTTTTCTCACTAGTGTGAGAAGCTGAAAGAAACATGTATATAAAGGTATATAAAAGTATATAAAAAAGATAAGATACTGATTTCTCTGAGTTCAATGAAAAGAGATTTGTGCTGGTATTGTTCAGACAGTTGTAAGCAGATGTCTTGAGCTCTGGGTGAATGACTTGGGGATGACAATGTGCAATAAGTGTACCATATTACACCAATTGACATGTTTTGAAATTTAGTTTTAGGGTTTTTTTTTTCTTCTTTTTTTTCCCTTGAAATAAAATGGGTTTGAGAAGATAAAAAGGGATACTGCCTTTTACCCTGTTGCTTATATAAAAAATCCAGGAGTTACTCTCAATTCCTTCCTTCTTCATCCAACTCATTATCAAGTATTAATAAATTTTATTTATTTTGGGGCTTTTTTGTTTTCGGTCTTTTTGAGACAGGGTCTCACTATGCCATTCAAGCTGGCCTTGAACTCACTATGTAGCCTAGGCTGGCCTTCAACTTGCAGCAGTCCTCCTACCTCAGCCTCCTGAGTGCTGGAATTACAAGTGTGTGCTACCATCCTGGTTAAGTATTAATAAATTTTAAATATGAACTACGCCTATCTTCCAACTACTACTCTAGCCCAAGTAATTGTCATTTCATCTCTTTCTTGGATACTACATTTTTGTCTTGTCCTTTCACAGTACTTAGCACAATTTAATTATTGATCAGTGTTCACTTGTAATTTTCTTAATTTCAATGTTTCACTAGAATGTATGTAAATTCCTTAAGGATAGGTACAAAAATCTGTTTTGTTCACTCAGATATTTCCAGCACCAGAGTATGTGGCCCCTCATAGGCAATTAACAAATACTTGGTTAATGTTTGTTGAATTAATAGATGAAAATATAATAGTCCAAAACTTTAACATAATTGCTCATATGAAATTGGAGCTTTAGTTTAATCATTCATAGTAAAAATGACTGAAGCTAACATAATTAAAATCAGTTGTATTACTGTGTGTCTGGAAGTGTCTGTTGGAATTGAAATGGTACGACCTGGAACCCAGAAAGGGAAGAATCAGCCAGGATCTGGCCATACTTTTCTATGCAGCAATCTTCAAGATAGCAAAATTAATGAACTCAAAGAACACTATTCAACTAGTTATTAGAGAGACACACTGAGAGAGTATAGATAAATCTTAGGCTTTACCTGTAGCCTAAATGAAATAGACATTAGTATCATCCATTGTTTTCTTTTTCTTTTTTCTTTTTCCTAGATTGTTCACCAAACAGTATTTGATTACTCACTTACATGCCCTGGAATCTTTCCACTGAGAAGGAAATGCTTTAGACAACAAACACAAATATTTTAGTCACTGGAAAAACACATTTCACATTGCAGTGTAACTCAATGAGGACAGAAGAATGTTAATCAGTTATATTCCTAGCTCCTTTTAAGTTTTTGGTGAATGTGTATTAATAAATTAGAATACCTTATACTGTCTTAACGAATTTTTTATTATGATTCAATCTTCAGATATCCATTTCATGACATGTATTATAAAAATCAGATACCTGATTTTGGAGGCCAAATTTGAGACACTAAACTTTTACTGCTTCAGAGTTTGTCTGAGATTCTTTGATTAGCTAGCTTACCTCCTCTAACATCTTCCTCTTTCTCTGAAATTCCAGTCATCTTCCATCAAATCCACAGGGTTTCCTAAAATCAAAAATCTAATTACGCTGCTCCCTGCC